TCTCTTGCTGGTTGTGTTGCCACACACCTATAATCCCCCTAAATCAGGAATATGAAGCAGGATGATCGCAACTTCAACGCCTGCCTCAGCAACTTTAGGGAGCTCCTCAGCAACGTAGTGATATCTTGTCTCAAAATCAGAAGAACTGGGGATATAGCTCAGTGCTAGAGCTCTTGACTAGCATGCAAGAGGACCTATGTTCCATTCCCAGCACATCCCCCCTCAAAAAAGGAACATGACCATTTTTGGAAATATAGGATCCTACTGGAATCATGTGACACTCTATGACTCCTGTCCTGATAAGAAAAGAGACCAGACAGCTGAGGGGAGATGGCCATGTGTCAAAGAAGGCAGGGATCAAAATGTGGCACCTGTAAGCCCAGGAACACCAAGGATTGGCAGCAAACAGATTCTCCTCTCCTGGAGGCTTCAGAGAGAACAAGGCCCTGTGACCCTGAGATTGCAGATGGCTAGCCTCCAAAACTGTGAGACATTTGAGGTTTTAAGCGGCCCAGTTTACGACACTTCCTTATGGCAGCCCTAGCAAACGAATATAGAGGGCAAGAGCAGAAGCAGGCTATGGCTTTGCTTTAGGGAATGTTGCTGGGACTGGGCTGTTGGAAGCATGTAGGTGTTGGTTATCACATAACTTCTGCTCTAGTGGGAGAGACGGACAATGAACAAGTGGAAAAAAAAAAAAAGCTCATTTTATTTATTTATTTAGATGCTGGATATAAAACCCAGTGCTCTGCACTTTAGGCAAGCACTGTACCACGGAGTTATATCCCCATCCCAAGCTAATTTTAAAATGAGGAATTGAACATTCATCTACAGTTATTGTAATTCTTTCCACTTCTAAAATCACTAGCCAATGGAAAATCCACTGCTCAACTGTGGAATTTGATTTTGCATTACAAAAAGAAGAAGAAATTACAAACTATTTTTTATCATAAAAACCAAAGGGTTATAAGAATAATAATAAAACAGTCAGGCACAGCGGTGCACAACTGTAATCCTAGCAACTCTGGGCAACTTAGCAAGGCCTTCAGCAGTTTAACCAGATTCTACCTCAAAATAAATGAAATAAATAGAATAAAAAGGACTAGGGATACAGCACAGTGGTAAAATGCCTCTGGGGTCAGTCCCCCATACTAAATAAATAAATAAATAGAGAAGTATATTTAAACAAAAGTAAACCATCTTTGAGCATTTTTAACCCTGTACCTCTGAAGTGATCAGTTTTGGTTCTTTTTCTTTTTGGTCCTGGGACTTGAACCCACCAGGGACTGTACCACTAAGCTACAGGCCTTTTTATTTATTTTGAGGTAGGATCTCTCTAAGTTGCCCTGGCCACCTGTCTGGCCTGGAATTTGTGATCCTCCTCCCTCATCCTCCCAGGTAGCTGAGATCACACCAATGCACCCCATTCTTAAGCATTCTTTTATTT